AGAATTCCCACAGACCCTGCTGGATTTGAACATCTCACCACAACCTGCTGCAGGAGGGGAGGAGACACAGGTGAATTCCAGCTCCTCACCCCGGCCAATCGAGCAGAGAAGTGGGGAGATGCAATTCATACCTCGGAGCTCTAGAGATTACTGCAGGAGCCCTGGTGCCAGCACCTGGCTGGGCTGGCCCTCAGGTGACCTCAGGGCTCTGCCTCCCTCCTGGCACACCGGGATGATCACCCCGAGGCAAGCTTTGCTCGCAGCCTGCCAGGCCGGCGCTGGTCCTGCGGGCTTTGCAGAGGATTGGGTTTCTCCCAGCAGCCAGAGCCTGGCCTGGGTTTCTCTCACTGTGAAATGGGGGCTGTTGAGGGGGACAGATCCCAGGAAAGAACAGAGAGCACCAGGCAGGAGCTCATCCCTGCCCTGCTCCTGCTGTGGGGATGCCACAGTGTGTGAGCTCAAGTTGTTGGTTTCCCTGGGTCTGCACTGAAGGCACTTGAGGCAGTATTTCATGTTCAGACTCAGGTGTTTATTATTCCTTATCAGTAAAACAGTCTCACTACTGTGAGTTCAGCTTTTCATCAGAAGGCACAAAATGGCCACAATCTCTTGTTCCAAGGTCTTTTAAGACTAAACTATCCAATTAAGAACTGACACCTAGATTATTTTCCCTTTTAACCCAATAACCGATCCCAAAGAGCTCCAGTGTGGACTTTTCTGCCCAAGTACAAAATGCCTCCCAAACCCATGAAGAAAAGGAAGAAGCAGCATGAAGAAGAAACCCAGGACAGCACCCTGTGCCCTCCATCTTGCTTCCATCCACAACACACTAAAAATCCCAAACCCTAAATGTCTCACCAAGTGACACACCTACACTGCTCTCCATAATCTATTTCACACTTTTGTGGGTTCTGGTCTATCTTGAAGTCCAGGAAACTTTCTCCATGAATGAGGGTCAGAGTCAGTGCTCCCCTGGGGGTCAGGGCACCCCAGAGCAGACACAGAAATATTCCCAGTGGTCTGGGCTTCCACACCCCAGAGCAGACACAGGCTCAGGTGTGGCACCTGGGCACTGCTGGAGTGATGTCCCTGCTGCTGGCAGGGCTCCCTCGAGCTCACATTTCCTGAATTGCAAAAAACACAGAGGAAAGAGCTGCTGGATCCCTCTCCCCAGCCCTCACAGAAAGAGGATCCTGCAGGACACCACACCCTGCAGGGATGAGGAAAGCCATGGAGCTGCTGGGGAATAGAGCAAAGCCAGGCCACAGCAGGGAAACGTCTCCACACACATCCCCCAAACTCCACAGCCTCTTCCCACGGCCTGGCATCTCCTCACCCGGATATTTCCCAGCTTTTCACAGGGCTGGTGCCATCCCACCCCACCCTGGGTGTGACACAGAGGGTCAGGAGCCCCAGCAGGGCAGAGGAAGGACAGTCCCAGGGCAATGCCACCACACCAAATCCCAGCCTCTTGCTCCATGACAACTCCTCCTGCCATCCCTCTCCAGGCACAGAATTTAACCACACACATCCCCAGCTGCCTCACACCCAGGAGAAATTATGCCAGTTACTTCTTCCTACACAAAGGGGTCTCCCTGTACTTCCAGTTCAGCCCAGAGAGCCTCTCCTGGGATCACCTCCCTCAGGAGCAGCATCCTGGGCTGCAGGAGGATAAGATTCCCAGCATGGAAGTTCTGTGTTAATTTTAACTGATTGTTTTTTTTCCCTTCTGAATAATATCTGCCCCACTGGCTGTGTTCAGACCAAGTCAGGCCACTTAGCACGGATTGAAAAATAAAATAAATAAAATTAAATGGTGTTTTTGTCCCACCCTGTATTCCATGAGGAGTCAGTCAAGGCAGTGCAAGCTAGCTGGAAAAAGTTTAAATTCTCTTTATGCTGCTCCTGTGACTCCCCACGGACCCCAGACTCCCCCAGGAGAGGGAACAGGTTACATTTAATCCTCCCTTACCCATGAATTTTGCTTTGGAATTCCCTCAGCCTTCCTTCACTCATTCCAATCTCTTTTTTTTTTAATTATTTTTTTTTAACAAACCAAAAAATGAACAGCACCAACATTAAAAAAAAAAAAAAGGCAGCAAAACCCGAAAACTATCTGATTTTTTGCAGTTAATCTGGCCCCCTGGGTGTGGAAGAGCCTGTTGCTGCTCCCAGGAGCTGCTCTAGGTTGAAGAGCTCAGTGCTGCACTGCTCTGGAGAAGGTCCCGTGGGGCTCCTGAGGCACAATAAACCCCTCCAGTGCATCTCCAAAACCTGGCTCATCAATCCCAACAGCAATCTTGGATTATTTTTAAACCATTATTTCCAAAACCGCTTTTATCTCAGTTTGTAAATGAATTATTTGCTGGTTTTTTTTTTTTTAATTTTTTTTATTTTTAAGGTTTTAAGGAACTCACAGAGCCTCCCCTCCCGCCCCTAGCATCATCACAGAGGGATTTTTTCCTTTTCCCTCACTGAACTTTTCCCAAAGCTCCCAGGAAGGTGGGAATCTGCTTGCTCTGGTTCAAACAGGTGCCCCGTGCCACGGTGGGAGCAGCAATTTGAACAGCTCAGCCTAAAAAGGAGCTGTGAGAGGGAGACAGAACTCACAACACCTGATCCCCCTGAGAAATTGACATTTCCCCCGATTTTGGGGCAACAATTAAGCAAAACTCACAGGAAAATATCATTTCTCAGTGCCTGCTTTTTGCAGGGATTTCCTCAGAGTGTAAATATCCACAGCCCCGTGTGCTTTAGGATGAGCCGATGCTTTAATTAGAGACGATTAGAGAGGAGGGGGCACAATTTGGGGTTGGTGAATGACAGATTTTCTGCTCTAAACACCCGAATCACCGTGAGCTGACAGAGGGGAGATGCTGGGGATGGGATCTTTGCTGCTTGCGTGACCAGACTAAAAATATTCCTGGTTCTCTCTTCCAAAAAATAAAATAAAGAGTAAAACAACAACAACAACAAAACAAAAGGAAGAGCGGAACAAAACGAAACGAAAATCAAATCAAGCAGCGGGGTGGATTTTGCTGGATTTTGGGACCAGCTGGGCTGGCCTAGGAGCGACGGAACTTCCCTGCCCTGCTCGGGATGCGCATCCCGGGGAGCCCAGGGAAGACCCCAATTCCCACATCCCCAGGGCTGCCCCCCCATCCCCAGCCACGGGGGTGCGTTCATATCTCGCTAGGGGAATAAATAAATAAACGAGAAAATAAATATATAAAGAGGGGAAAGGTTGAGGAGGAATAAAGAGGGGAAGGGACGGGAGGGCGAGGGGGGAATTTCGGCAGCCAATGCAACAGCTCCCGGCCTCTCCCGCGACTCCCCCAGCCCAATCCAAGCCTCCTTTGCATTTCCATGGCCTAAGGGGGGGTTTCTCCTGGCGAAAGGAGCGTCTGGAAGCGCTGCTTGGCACCGGGGAAGGACGGGACAAAGCCACCCCAAAGCCCGCAGTGTCGCCGGTGTCGCCCCCCGCGCACACCTGAGGATGCCCCGGCTCGGGACGGGACCCCCTGCCCCCCTTCCCAGCGCCTTTTTTCCCATCTTTTCCCACTTTTCCGCAGCTCGAGGGACAGGGGGGACAGGGGGGACAGACAGGGGGGCCGGGACCGCGCTCCCCTCGCCGGGTGACAAGCGAATATTTATGTCGGTATTAGAGGAATGCGTTTCCTTCTCCAATCAGGAATGCGAGCAGAGTTTCTAATTATAAGTTAGATGGTGGCTGGGAATAAAAGATTGCTTTTTAATGACTCCCGTCCAGGTGCTCTCGCTGCCTGTCTTCCCAAGAACACATTTGCATTTTATGGCTTTTTTTTTTTTCTCCTTTCCTTTTTTTTTTTTTCTTTTCTCTTTCTCCCTCCCATCCCAACGAATTCCCTGCTTTCAGACATACCTGAAATAGTTGGAGAGGCTGCTGCCTTCAACACCCTCACCTCTGCACCGCCGGACAGGGGGGACCGCGCATCCCGCACCCGCGGGAGGGGGGGTTGGGGGGGGGAGCAAGGATTAATTTCAAAATTAATTAGCAGCACGGCGATGATCGGGGGCGTTTTTTGAAGGACCCCCATTGATTATTATTTTTTTTTAAAGGGGGGCGTTTGGGAGCTGTCGGCAGCGCGGAGCCCCCCGGCTCAGCCCGCGGAGCCTCCCTGCGCTAGGGCTTCCCCGAGCCCAATTAGCTCCGCGGGGTAATTAGAGCAGATCGTGCACTTACATGCCTTGCCCAGCACCATTTGCTTTTCGTGGGGGAGCGAGCGAGAAAAGGCTCTTAAAGGCGTAGGGTGCCAAGCGCGGAAAAGGAGGAAAAAGCGGCGAAATCCCCCCCCCCAAAAAAGTGCCGCATCCCCGCGCAAGGAGCGCGGATTTTGCGCCGGGAACCTCTCCCCCATCCCCGGCTCTGCTCTGCCTTCCCACAGCCCAGCTTGTGCAGCTTCGCCTCCTTTTTCTTCCCATTTCCACCCCTATTTTATTATTATTATTATTATTTTTAAATTTACCCCTCAATATTTCTTAAAGCGAAAGGGGGGGGAATAAAAGCCACCCAAAAGTTTTGCTCCTTTGCCCCCCTCGCTTCCACCTGACTAGCTCGAAATCACCTTGAAATGCTCATGTCAACTAGTATCATTATCTCTTTAATTCAGGCAGCGCCTTTTGTTCTTCACAGGAGAGGATCAAAGCGCTCAGAGGGAAAAAAAAAAAAAAAATAACTTTCCGATCGCTCCCTCTCGCTCTCTCTCTTTTACAGTAGGAGAAGGAGAGATCAGGTATAACCCAGTCAAAATAAACAAAGTGAATGCATAAATAAAAGAGGTGAAATGCAGGTTCTAAGAACTTGCTGGCGCTGGAACAATCCCACCTCTTTAGCTGAGTGGCAACGAAAGGAGAATTTCAAGTCATCTTAAGCGCAGGGGTTGCAGAGAAAGCAGAGGAGGGGAAAAATAAATGAAAATGAGCGAAAAAAAAAAAAAAAAAAGAAGAAGAATAAAACTTACCACCAGATTGGGTAACTTGACAGAGCCTGACTCAACCCACAAAGAAACAGGAAATATCCAAAAGAGGCCATTGATGAAAAGTTGTCTTTCTTTTTTTTTTTTTTTTTTTTTAACCAGAGTTGCCAAAAAACTTCCTTTCTTCTGAGGCAGGATGATTATTTTAATAATAATAATAATAATAACAATAATTTAAAAAAAAAAAAAAGTCAAATGAAGTGAACTCAACCCGACCAGGTAAATCCTCTCTTGCTTCCTCTACTTCTCTCAAGGAAAAAAAAAAATCTCAGAGAGGTAAAAAACTCTTCTCTCAGCCAAGACACTGAAGGCAAATATTAAAAAAAAAAAAAAAAAAAAAAAAAAAAAAAAAAAAAAAAAAAAAAAAAAAAAAAAAAAAAAAAAAAAAAAAAAGAAGAAAAAAAAAAGTTTGAAGTAGCTCTCTTAAAAAGGACCCAATCAGCACTTATTGCCAAAGGGAGAATTCTGATGCTTTGGCTTGTTCTGTCAATCAGGAGCGTGAAGTCAGGAATGAGCTAATTGCAAGGAGATAGTGTTTTAATACTCATTAGGGGGCACGTTGGCCCACAAGCCAAGGGATAAAATGTAGTTTTAAAAAGGGGAAGGAAGATTTAGGGGGTTTAAATAGACAGGGGGGACCCCTGTGGATTTGGGTAGCTATAACAACCTGCCCGGATTTCACTCCCTGGGTCGAAGCTACTAAAATGCAAAAAAAAAAAAAAAAAAAAAAAAAAAAAAAAAAAAAAAATTGGAAAGTTTTTTTCCCCCCCCCCCTTCTTTTAAAAATTATTATTTTCTCATTTTTCTCCTTCTTGCCATTCTGTCTTCTCCTCAAAGCCCCACTTCCTCACGGGGACGGTTGGGATGCATTTCAACCAACTTTCTAAAAACTTTCGGTTGCTCTCTTTTTGGGGGCTTTTTTCATGGAAAAAAAAGAGGATTTCCACCCAGGCACGCAGACCCCCTTTCCCCACCAGTCCAAGCAGCCGCAGATCCAAGACCTCCACTGAAGACATCTGCTAAAAAAACCGACTTCTTCCATGCAAATCTCCAAAGGGCTCCTTCAGCTCATCCCAATTTCCAGGAATCCCAGCCCCGGACATTGGGAAGGCGCCGCTGCAACGACTTCATCCACCAGATCCACCCCACAGGGCACCAGTAATTGAGCTCTTTTTTAATTTCTCTCTCGACACATTGTCTCAATTTCTCTCTTTTCAGCGCCGGTGGTGGGGGGTGATTTCTGCCGTCCCAAAAATTCGGATTTTTTTTTTTTTTCCCCCGTGGGGCAGAAAGAAAAAAAAAAAAAAAACCAAAGGTGGGGGGGTCATATTAATATTATTATGAAGATGTAGCTCCTCGATTCCCGGTCCGTGGTGGGATTTGCTGCTCCTCTGGAACATATTGGTTAAAGCTGGCTGGGGCTGGGAGCAAGTGTCACCCACAGCTGACAGGCGTCCCCTTCCCCCGGCTCATTTGAAAGGGGCTGGAGAGGCGAAAAGAGGGGATGGAGGCATCGCCTGAGCCTGGAGATATTTTCTCCCTGCAATAACAACGATCCTCTTTTCCATAGTTTTATATATATATATATATTTTTTTTTTTTTTTTTTTTTTTTTTTGTCACTTTTTTTGTTTGTTATTATTTTAAGGATTCAGCGGCCTGCAGGAGATTTTATTTATTTCTCCGACTTGCTTTTATTTTATCTGTGAATCAGAAAATTTCTGTGGCTCGCAGGGAACAAAGAGAGGTACAGTTTTTAATGACTTTGTTGGGGGAAGCCTTGCAACCCCGCATTAGCTCAAATCAAAATGCGCTTTCATCCTCATTAAGAGCCGCATTTATATTTTGCCTTAGTAGGGAATATTTCTATTTACACACACAGGGCTTTACATGCATATATATAAAGATATGTTTGTGTGGAGCTAGATGGAGAGATATATTCATTCTAGTGAAATTATACTAGAAATGCAGTTCATTCGGGGATATTTAAATCATCGGGAATTTGGCAGGGGTCGGGCCCTGATTATTTTCTTTCGGCTTGGATGACAAGCGATTGCAAATGTGAGCTCTGGCAAGTGCTCCGAGATTTAATCGCTGCGCGGAGCCGATCCCAGCGGCTTCCAGAGGGGGAACGGATGCTCCGCGAGGCTCTCCCAGCAAATCCCCGCCGTGTTGATGCTGCAATTATAGCCGGGGTATTAAATCCATCCCCCCTGCTCCTCCTCGGGCAGCTCCCCCGCCCCCCCCGGAGGAGCCCAAGGGGTTGGAGGAGGGAATTTTATTGCATAAGGTGGGATGAGGGAAAAGGAGGAGGGGTGGTGGTGTGTGAAAAATCATCTTAAGGACTTTCCCTGTGTATTAGAGAAAATCCCATCCAATTATAGCATTACTGGAAAGAACCAAACACCGCGACTTTCAAAGGAGGGGATTTCTCTGTCTTTTCAAGTGGAATTGCTCACGCTGCAGACTGGAACACACACACTCACACACTCACACACACTCACAGCCAAAGGGGAGGACGGACGGGGCAGGACACACATCCCTTCCAGCTAATCTCCCCTCCCTTTGTTCCTGGGGAGAGCTCAAACATCTCCCAAAGCCTCTGCCCCTCCCTGCAGGAAGCAGCAGGCAGCTTTACCTGGAGGTACAAATTCAGCCACTCTCCCTTTTTTTTCCCCCTCTTTGCTCTGCAGCTGCCGCCGGCTCGGGGAGGAGGAGGAGGATGGAGATAATCCACTTTGTCAGGGGCGGACAGACACACAGACACAGCCCGGCATGGGCTGCCTTCCCTCTCTCTGACGCCAGCAGCTTTTAATGAGGCTGATCCAAAGGTTCTGGGCTGGCTGATGGTTATTCCCGGCCCCGGGAATGCTCCTGGCATTGGATATCTATCAGCAGCTTTATTTCTCAACCTCCAAGGGCCGGGTTTTGTGGGGCATTAGGATGGGTAAAAAAGACAAAACCGGCCTTAGGGATGCAGGGCAGCCTCAGGGAAGTGGCACTGCTGGAGTTTGGCTGCCAAAAAAGCTGCAGGGTTTTATCCCAAGGGATGATTTAGGGCCAGGTTGGACCCTTTTTTCCAAATATTTGCACATCGTTCAGACACACTTTGGGATGGGCAGGACCTGGCTTTGGCTTCTTCTTTCCTAGGTCTGCTTATCAATATCTGGGGAGTTTTGAGGGAATTTTGGAGGGGAGAAGTTGCCCAGAGAAGCTGGGAAATTGCAAGCACCACTGCTTGGTCTGATGCCAGCAGCTTTTAATGCCGCTGATCCAAAGGTTCTGGGCTGGCTGATGGTTATTCCCAACCCTGGGAATGCTCCTGGCATTGGATATCTGTGAGCAGCTTTATTTCTCAACCTCCAAGGGTCGGGTTTTGCAGGGTGTTAGAATGGGTAAAAAAGCTGCCACCAGCCTTAGGGATGCAGGGCAACCTCAGGGAGGTGGCAAAAAGCCCAAAAAGCTGCAGGGATTTCTCCTGAAGGATGATTTAGGGCCAGGTTGGTCCATTTTTCCCAAATATTTGCACATCGTTCACACACACGTTGGGATGGGCAGGACCTGGCTTTGGCTTCTTCTCTCCTGGACCTGCTCATCAATATCTGGGGAGTTTTGAGGGAAGAAATTGTCCAGAGAAGCTGTGACTGCCCTTGGAAGTGTCCAAGACCAGGCTGGACAGGGCTTGGAGCACCCTGGGATGGTGGAACGGGATTGAAAGTCCCTTCCAACCCAACCCATTCCAGGATTCTGTAACCCCACAAGAACCCTGCTGCAGGAGCAGGAGCTGCACAACTCCAGTGCCCCAGCTGGGAAAAGGGGATGGGAGGACATCACAGGCTCCTGTCACGGGGCTGGAATGTCTCCTGGAGGCGTCGCTGCTTCTGTCCTGCTTACTCACCCTGGTGGCAGCTCCAGGGGCCACTTGAGCATGTCCAGAGCTGGATTTAGGGACATGAGTGATCCCCAGAGCAGCTGCTCCCAGAACAGGCACATCCAGGCTGCTCCCATCCCAGAGGAGCCTGTGGGAAGAGATGAGGGAGCTCTGGAGGGACCCAGACTTGGTCACACTTCTCAAATACTCCCTGAGTCACTTCTGCTGCTCTCCTTGCCCCTGTGCCCTCCATGGAAGAGGCTGCAGGATGGGAAGATCACCCTTGTGGAGAGCCAGCCAGAACCAGGGAAGAACAAACTCCTTGTGGAGAAGGAGGTTTTGTTTCATTTTAGTGGAGGACACCAGTGATTCGCCCCTTCCCTCCTTCCCACCTGAATTCCCACTGGTAAACTCTGATAATTTTGCTGCTTCTGCAAATTTCAGCTGGGCTGAAATTTCAGAAATTTCAATTTTCTGGCTGGGCTGTGGTTCATCTTCCCCCCTGACAATTTCCTCCCTCTGTGCCCCACACATCACCCTCTCGTCTCAGGGATGGTGCAGCCACCCTGGCAGAGGGAGAATGCCACAGCCTGGTTTTCTTGCTGTGCCCAGAGAACCAAACTGGCTTGTGGGGAGCACTGGGAGCACCAGGAAATGCCCAGCAGGCAGCTCTGCAACCCTCCCTCCCTAAAGCCAGCCAGCCCTGCTGTGGAACCCCCAGAGCACATGGGAGACCCAGATTAAAATAAAATAAAATAAAATAAAATAAAATAAAATAAAATAAAATAAAATAAAATAAATATGGGATATATATATATTTATATATGATATATAAAATATATAATATTTTATTTATTGATTTATTTATTTGTAAAAATATATAACGGAACTTCTTTTTCTTATTTAAATGAGATTATCCAAATGCTGGGATTCTGGATTCCTGGGAGCTGGGGTGAAAGAGGCCAGGGTTTGTCACGGGCCTGTTGACTTGTGCCGTTTTTAATCTCTCACTTTTAATATCCCTAAAGACTGAGATCCATCTCAGCCGTGTCAGCCCCACGCCCAGGAGCCACAGCAGCACAAAAAGTGACAATCTGGTCAATATCCAGCTCCTCAGAGTGGGGCAGGAGGCAGGAGATGGATTCACGGCAGGCCCAGCTGGTCTGGCTGTGGCTCTGCCCACAAGAAGAGGTTGCTCCCATGCTGGAGAGGAGTTTTTTCCCCGAAATAATTCCACCTTTTCTTCCTCCTTGGCTCTCCCCGGGCTCAGGGGTGACCTGAGCCTGTGGAGGTGGGGTGAGCTCCTCC